CCCCACTTCCACCCCCAAAGGCCAGAAAACGCTGCTGGGAAAGACTCAGATGGTGGCCATCCATAGGGGAAAGATGGACATGAGTTTGTTGGAAGGTTGCCTCTTTGACTGGGGGGGTGGGAACGGGAGGAAGATGTGGGTCACTCTGCCCTACCTGGACATCTCACTGCTTTGCTTACTCAGCTGGCCCTCCTGTCCATTGTGGTCCATCTTCAGTGTTGCTTTCTTCTCGAAGGTTCTGGACCAGCCTTTCCTGTTGTGCTTGGTGTCTCCCTCACGGCCATTGGCAAGCTCAGCTGTGGGGTAGCCTTTTTGCCAGTAGATCTTTTTCCACCCTGTTCTATTGTAAGCTTCTGGCAGGCAGGCCTCTCGTAATATGTCTTCCTCATATGTGACATGAGCTTCTGTGCACACTCTTGCTGGGGTTGGTGGATGACTCTGGGGTCACTTCTGAGAACACAACCCCCCCCCCCCACACACACACACACACATACACTGGCCACGTGTGAAATGCAGGGTATGGTTCTAATCCAGAGAACCCAGAGCTCAAAGGCTGCTGAACATCACTAGAGAAGAAACAGGCTGCCCGGCCATGCAGCCTCTAAGCCATCGAGCAGGGGAGGGCTGGGCAGTTGGCTCAACTCTGCCTCATTGAGGACAGTGTCCTTGCTCTGGCCAGTTACAACAGTCGCTCCTATGGAAGTTGCGCCATCCCAGGGGTGGCACCGTGCGGTGCTACCCTACACAGGAGCCTGCAAGTCGGGGAATTCTGGCTCATCTTACGCATACCAGAAGCTGGTGCTAGGCCACCACGATGCACACAGGGCACTGACTTGTGTGATTCCCTAATAAGTCCCATGAGCTCCAGAAAGCACTGGACGTGGCTGTGCCTCTGTCTCCTCCCAGATGAGCGCCGAGCAAACCCACCTCCGGGGCCCCTGTAACTGCCTGTGTTCTCTGACTTACAACCTGGGACAGCAGGGGAGGCTGGCAGAAGAAGGAGGCAGGAGATGAAAGTGCACATCTGGGGGGAAATGGGGTATGACCTCTGGCTGCCTCCGGGCCTCTTTAAAAAAAAAGCAGCAGCAGTGGTCCATCTTTTGGGCTAAGGGCAGGGAGGCCCTTCCTACCTAGCAGCCACATGCCTCTGTCCTCCAGCCAGGATGAAGAGCGCGGAGTGACAGAGGAGCAGCCCTCTTGGGCTGGCAAGGCTCAGCACATCAGTGGACACCCTTTGACCCTAGCTGCCGTTCCTTGGCACCCTTCATTGCCCCAGGCCTTCCCTGCTCCACCCCTGGGGATTTCTACCTGCCTCCTGGCCTTGGGTAACCCGAATCGCTCTTTTGTATCCCTGCCTAGGTGGAGAGCAATCACTTCTGCCCCTGCAGCACCCAGCCAGCCTCTGGGTGACACTAGGTGCTGGATGGAGACAGTGATCCATGGGGACCATCCTGTGGGAAGGGCATCTAAAGGGTCCTGCTGAAACCACCAGAAGTGTCAAGGCCTCTGGCTTTTAAACATCTGCTCCATTCTCAAGATTCTGTGTGCCCTGGGGGAGGTGGGAACCAGTTCAAGTTCACGCCCTGGCTTGTCTCTCCTACCTTCCCTTGGGTGCCTCCAAAATGACCAGCTCACCCCCATAGTCCTGGGGTCATCTTCATCCCCAGGAAATTCCTCAGCCCCGGGTGAACCAGGATGCTTAGGTACCCTGGCCCCAGCCACAAAAGTCCCCGTGGGTTCAGGGAACTCACATACCTCAGAACGTTGGTCTACACACAGGGTGCCGACAAACACCCCCGAGTTAGAATTGTTAGCCTCAGCGACTCACCCGTACCATCAAGCTTCAGGACTAGTGTGCTCTGTACCCTGTCATCTTCGGTTTGCCCTAACTCTACTCCTCCTTGGTGTTTCAAAACAAAGCCAGGTTCTGCTGTCTCACACCTGTAATCCTAGCTACTCAGGAGGCTGAGATCTGAGGATTGTGGTGGTTCAAAGCCATGCCAGGACAGAAAAGCCTGTGAGACTCTTAATCTCCAATTAACCAGCAAAAAGCTGGTAGGACACCAGCCTTGACCAAAAAAGTTAAGAGACAGCACCCAGGCCTAGCCCCATTACCAACACACCTACACACTGCCCCACCCTGCCCCCTCCCCTTTGCCCCCCCCCCCCATCCCCTCGCTGTAGGAAATAAACTTTAAAAGAAAACCCTGTCTCAATTCCCAAAGCTGGACTCCAAGCTGATGGTTCTCGGGGTCTCCTCCCTGCCAGATTCCAGCTCCCCAGGAAAAGGCAAGGAAAAGTTTGGATGCCTAAGCCAAATGAAACTCCTCCGCTGCTGAGGCTGCTCTCCTAGACAGACCCTTGGCTCACCTTCCAGGAGAGGCCAGGGCAGGGCTGCTCCTGCCCCTGTGCTAGCAGCTCTGCCCTCAGATAAACCCTCCTTCCCAGTGCCCGCCCCTCCCCCCCATTATCCTTTCTTGTTCCTTCTAGTCAGGTTCTGGTCCCACAAATCCTCATGGAGTTTTGCTGACCACAGAAGGGGTGCTGTCAGGGGACAGCTTGTGGCTTCTTTTTATAAAGAACCCTTCATTCCCACTTCCTTCCCTCCCGCTAACTTATCATGGTGTGGACCAGTAACAGGAGCAAAAGCCAGACGCAGCAGCTCCTGTACCCTCAGGGGTGAGGAAGACAGTGTTTGACTTTCCCTTGCTTCTGAATGCTGTTGGAACTGGGGACAGGGGCTGTTCCTAAAAAGGAAACCTCTTGTTTTGGCTTTCTGTTCCCCAAGCGTGGAGGAGGGAGGCCGACCAGTCTCTTACCTTATCAAGAGTGCCAGCAAGTGGAGTTGTTTGCTTAAGTCAGAGGCCAAGGGGAGATGCACAGTAGGACTGGGGTCTCCCCCAGGCCACCTGCTCCCTGTGAGGCTCTTCTCCATCTTACATCCCTGCCAGCAAGTCCAGCTCCTTAACCCCCCGCTGCTCGTGAAGCAGCCCTTAGCTTGTCCCCAGGGGACTGTCTCTGTCAACCCCAGCCCCCTTGTGCCCCCTCACACCCAGCTACAATGCGTTCACCAGTCTCCATTACTTTTTTCTTTGTTCCAGTACCAGGGCTTGAACTCTGAGCCTACGCGCTGTCCCTTAGCTTTTCCATTCAGGGCCAGTGTTCTACTACTTGAGCTCCAGCTCCAGTTTTTTTGGTAGCATAAGAATCTCACAGACTTTCCTGCCCTAGCTGACCATGCTGATCCTGAGATCTCAGCCTCCTGAGTAGCTGGGATTACAAATGTGAGCCACTGGCACCTGGTACTTTCTGGAACCATCGTGCTTATTGCAGTATCCTGACATCCTGGTGATCTGTGTTGCTTTCCCTGCCCTTCATGCCTTCTGGGCTTCCCAAATCAGGTTTTGTGTTCAGTAGGCAGCCAGTCTGTAGGCTCCCAGTGGCCCCCAGTGCCCCTGGACCCCAGCTTGTATTGGGAACAGGAATAGTAGAGTAAGGGTTGCTAAAGTGATGGAGAGGGGGTCAGCCACCATCCTCATCCTCTTTCCCTTTGAGGACACCTGAAGCCAGTGGTTCTCAACACTATGTACATCATTAAACTGTAGACACAAGGCAGGTGGGCCCCGAGAATCCGTGGTGTGGGTCCAAGGCATTGGCTTTTGCTGTATCTCAGCAATGAGATTAGGCATCCAGGTCCAAGAGCTGTGGATTCAAGTTGTGTGCCAGAGCTGGTGCAGGCGGTGAGGAAGAGGAGAGGGCAATGGAGCCTCGGGGTCCACTAGTCAGCATGTAGGGGTCAGATATGGAGTGTCCCCCCAAAGGCTCATATGCTGACGCTTGGTCCCCAGCCGATGGAGCCAGTTACTTCGGAGATTAATCCATGGATGGGTTCATAACTTGCTAGAGTGCCTTCCTCTGTCTCTCTACTTCCTGGCCACCATGAGATGAGCAGCTGTGCTCTGCCCCACCGTGATCCACGAACGATGGAGCCGAGGGAGCGTGGACTGAAACCTCGAGTTGAAGTCAGCCCTTCTCCCTTAGATTTCTGTCACAGTGATGAGACACTGACAAACATAACACAGATGTTTAACACACAGGGGCGAGGACTGGACGTGTGTGTGTGTGTGTGTGTGTGCGTGTGTGTGTGTGTGTGTGTGTGTGTGTGTAGGAGAGTGACTTAGGAAGGGCCCGAGGGAAGGTGGGAGGATATCAAAGCTGTGGTCCCAGCCCTTGCTGCAAGGCTTGGGACCCCGGCAGCTTCCAGGACTGCCCAGTTGGGGCAGTGCCCTGCAGAGAAAGGAAGGCCTGGCAGGATCCCGAGGGCGTGGCTCACAGCTGGGTTGGGCTGGAACCCTGTGCCAAAGCTAGGGCAGGGCCGACCGCGGGGCTTGCCAGGGATGGAAGAATGGAGTTTCTGTACTGTTTATCAGGGCAGGATGCGGAGGAAGAGGAGGGGGAGGAGGCCACCGCAGCCCGCCCGGCGGACGGAGCACCCTGCTCATGTCCCCGGGAGGACTTTGGACAGGGAGCGCCACCTCTGATTCACTGTGACAGTGGCCCGGCAGCTCTGTGGTCATTCCTGGGGGAAGTCACAGTTCCACCCATGCAGATAGGAGGCAGAGACCGGCTATGGCCTTCTGGCCAGCCACCAGTGCCAGCGCCATGTAGACTTGATGGGACCCTTTGACCCTCCCCACTGGAAAGAAATCTTGAACTTGGGGCTTTGAAGGGGAAAAGGCCCTGATGTAGGACAGGGTCTAACGAAATGTGGGCACAAATCTGTTTGTTTCATCCACGGAAATGTATTTCAGATTCTGAAACCATGAGCCCCGCTAAGTCCTACGTCGCTTTGGTCACAGCAGTGAGCAAGGCGGGCGCCCAGGTCCTAACCTCTCTCCATCCTCCGTCTGGCACAGGGCCCACCTTCTCGCCCACACCCAGCGCTCTCATGGGCTCATAGTTCCAGGCAAGAGCTTTCATGTGTCTTCTTGGTTTTTCAGGAATCTGGCCATTGGAATTGGGATCCAGAACTTCCCGGAGGGTCTGGCTGTCAGCCTCCCCCTGCGTGGAGCTGGCTTCTCCACCTGGCGAGCCTTCTGGTGAGTGTCCCAGGCGGAGTGGCCTTAGAGATCCGCTTACCATGTGAAAGCCATGACTATCATTTCCAGCAGTTGAGGCACCAGGAAGGAAGGAGACGGTATGGACTGTTTCTGGCCAACAGTTAGACCTTGAAATGAATTCCCCCCCATCTCTTTCTGCTAGCATGGAACACAGAGTCCCTTGAATGCTAGACAATGTCTGACTCTCCCTATCTGTTGCTAGGAATTGTGCTAGCAGAGAAGGTAGTTGTGCTAGCCCAACCAAAAAGCTGCCATTTCTGCTGCTGGTTTCTGCATTAGGTCAAGAAAAGCCAGGAAGCACCCGCCCCCCCCCCCCCGCCCCCAGCCCCCATTAAAGGAGTCTCTAGCAAAACAGGCTCTTCCTGCATAACCATTGCTTGACCCTGGCCAGGGAGAGGTAGAGGAGTTCACAGTCCCTAGGTACCTTCTCATCTCGAGAGGCTGGGTAGGCTGATATCTCTCTTCCCCATTTTAAAGATGGAGGGACTGATACTCAGAGGTGCAATATCACCCAAGATGCACTCTTGCGAGCTCAAATAAAGGACTTTATTAACAGTAGTAAACTCACCTTAATCCAAGATGGGATTCGATGGGGGTGAGGAACAGGCTCTCCATCTGCACATGGCCATCAGACACAGATGGATGCCACCCCTTCAGAAGGGTCCTCTCAACTCAATTACCCAAACATAGCAGGTACAACTGCTCTTGGGGAAGGTCCGCACTGCACCTAACCAGGGGCCTATCAGTCATCCGGTGATGAGGGGGCGGGTAGCATGTAGACATTCGGAAACAGGAAGGACACATGCCACTTTATGCTCCGTGAAATAAGCCAGCCACAAAGGACATGCAGTCTATGATTCCACTTCTGTGAAATATCCACAAGCACAAATACACAGAGGAAATAGGGAGAGTTGTGGTTTCCAGGAATGGGAAGTGGCTGCACATGTGCGTGGACTTCCCTTCTGGGGTGCAAAGTGTTCTAAAGTTAGGGGTGACGCTTGCACTGCCTTGGAAATGTATCAAAGCCCCTGAATAGAAACATTAAATGGTTGTGGCAGATGGTGTGTGAATTTTATCACAGTCAAGCTGTCAATAAAAAGCCAGGTACTTACAGTTCAGGCCTGAAATCCTAGCTACTCAGAAGGCTGAGATCTGAGGATCAAGGTTCAGAGTCGGCCCAGGCAGGAAAGGCTGTGAGACTCTTATCTCCAGTTAACTACCAGAAAACCAGAAGTGGAGCTGTGTCTCAAAGTGATAGAGCACTGGCCGTGAGTGAAAAAGCTGAGGGACAGCGCCCAGGCCTTGAGTTCAAGCCCCACCGGCACACACCCATACACACAGAGGACAGTATAGGATGCTTACAGCTTACAAGGATGGTGGGATCTGCTGGAGCGGTTCCACGGGCGCTGAGGGAGAAAGAGGAGGAGGAGAATGTGAAATGATGATGTGTGTTTATGCTGCCCTGGTCTGTGTCATGCAGAACCTGGTTTCTAGGGTGCCCAGCAGTCCAGGCACTCGATGTCCACTCCTCTCTCCCTCTAGTGGTCCGTGTCTGTGTTTCCTCCTTAGGTATGGGCAGCTGAGCGGTATGGTGGAGCCCCTGGCTGGGCTCTTCGGCGCATTGGCCGTGGTGCTGGCTGAGCCCATCCTGCCTTATGCACTGGCATTTGCTGCTGGTGCCATGGTCTACGTGGTCATGGACGACATCATTCCTGAAGCCCAGATCAGGTGCAGAGTTTTCCCTGACAGTCTGCCCTGCCCAGGGCCCTGCCTGCCCCAGCCCCCTCCCAGCCCCAGGCCCTACCCAGGCCTGCCCTTTACAACCACCCTTTACACTCCCCTCTCCTTTGCTCTGACACCACCACCCTGCCCCTCCTCAACTGTGCTCCCTACCTCTGAAAACAAGAAGGGAAGGGCAGGGGGCTCACGAGACAAGATGGTGCCACACAGAGCCCCTGGCAGACAACCATCCTTGTATAGCCTACCTTTCTCTTTAGATCTTTCTGAGAGGAGGGTAGGCTGTATCTACCACCTTCGCCCACTAGCAAGCTGTAGGTCGGGGGTTCAGGTGGTGGTGAGCAGGGGAGGGGCCTTGATTGGTGTTACGCTGGTTTTTATAGATGAATAGTGTTTTGGGGGGTAGTACTGGAATTTGAATTCAGAATCTTTTACTTATTAGGCTTTGCCACTTGAACCTCAGCCTTTTTACTTAATTGTTTTTTAGATAGTTGTTTTTTTTTTTTTTTTTGCCTCAGGCCAGCCTGGACTAAGGTTCTTCTACAAACATGAGCCAGCATGCCCAGCTTTTTTTGTTCTTGTTGAGATGGATTCTTGTATGTTTCTTTAGTGTGTGAGGAGAGGGTAACCTCAAAGCCAAGTTCCTTCCAAGCTCTACGGTGTATGAGTGTGTGTGTGTGTGTGTGTGTGTGTGTGTGTGTGTGTGTGTGTGTGTGTGTGTGTGTGTGTGTGTGTTGGTATCAAGGCTTGAACTTAGGGCCTAAGAGCTACCCCTTAGCATTTCTGCTCAAAGCTGGTGCTCTGCCACTTGAGCAACACCTTCCCTTCCAGCTTTTTGCTGGTTAATTAGACATCAGAGCCTTAGGGACTTTTAGTCCAGGCTGGCTTTAAATAGTGATCCTGAGATCTCAACCTTCTGAGTAGGTAGGATTACAGGCATAAGCTACCAACACCTACCTGATTCATATGTTTTATCTGGATGGCCCAAGCTTCACCTCTTGAGTAGGTGGGATTATTGGCATGAGCCACTGCACCAAGGTCCAATGATAATTTTGGGTCTAGTATACCAGGTCAGATTAAATAAATGTCCACTCCTTTTTATTTTATTTCATTTTATTTTTTGGTCATGGGGCTTGGCGCTGTCCCTCAGTTCTTCAGCTCAAGGCAAGCACTGTGCCACTTGAGCCACAGCACCACTTCCGGTTTTCTGGTGGTTTACAGAGATAAAAGTCTCATGGACTTTCCTGCCCAGGTTGGCATTGAACTGCGATCCTCAGATCTCAGCCTCTTGAGTAGCTCGGATTATAGATGTGAACCACCAGCACCCCAGCTCCTTATTTTTTTAATCTGGATTCCAGAGCCCTGGGCAAGTTACTTCTCTACATCTCCTTCCCCCTTTCCCAGGAGAATATGGGGTATGATACTGCCTTGAGGTTGTTGCTTGGGATTATGTGTGTTAGCAAGTTAGTGAAGCCAAGCAAATGTTTCCATCATTCGTAGCAGAATAGAGTTAGACAATGCAGGAGGGCCTTCTGGGTAGACATGGTGTTAGAAGTACCGGGTCTGACTGCTCCTCTCCTTCCTCCCTAGTGGTAATGGGAAGCTGGCATCCTGGGCCTCCATCCTGGGCTTCGTGGTGATGATGTCACTGGACGTGGGCCTGGGCTAGAACTGTCACATCATACCCCAGGGCGGAGAGCACCAGACTTCTGCTGAAGGACCACAGGCTTCTTTTTCACATTAAAACTTTGTTCCCCCTCCCTTCTTCATTATCTGGATCAGCTCTGATTGTTCAATGACCATTTTTACTTTCCTCTGGAGGGAGATGGTACTTTTCTTTCTTCCTTTTTTTGTTTTTGTTTTTTTGAACCACCCTGTGTCATGGACTACAGATTTTTGTTTTGACCCCTGAATGGAATCTTTCTTCATTGGAATCATCAAGGCAAATAAATCAAGGGACCCCTCTGCCTTCTTTCCCACCTCTGGTCTCCCTCTCTAGACTTAGCAGCGATCCCTAAAGGCTGCTCCCAGAAGCAAGCTCCTAGGACATATTCTAAGCATTCTGGCCTCATTTCAAAGCAGGTGGCCATCGCTCCTGCTCTATCCCTACAGCTCCTCTGTCTCTCTAGGGCATCATGAACACGTTGACCTGCTTTCCAAGGCTGAGCCAGCCTAGAGAGGAATACACCTTCCTCTGCCTCCCGGGACATGGGGGAGGGCCACACACAAAGAGAAGCAGGTTATCTTCTTTTCTTTTTTTAAGGCAAAGCTTGGCCCTATTAAAGATAGGAGGATTTGGGAATTTGAACATCGGTGACTACACAGTAGCCCCTGAGAAAAGGGGACCACGTGTGGCTCTACCCCAGGCCTCCGCCCTTGGTGGCTCTACCCCGGGCCTCCGCCCTCGGTGGCTCTACCCCGGGCCTCCGCCCTCGGTGGGTTCCAGAGTGCTTTGTCATGGTTCCCAAGTCTCCTAGACCACGATCTCGATTTTTATGGCCTCTGTTTGTCTAAGGGACTTGGAGTTGCCAGCAATTGCTAGAACTCAGCCCCCTCTTCTGCTAATTATAGGAGCCACTTAAGTTAACTCAGGGGAGAGAAAGACATTTGGGATCTGTAACAGGTCCTTCCCCGCTGGTCATTGGTCATGTAGAACCCAGCCAAGAGCTCTGCCAAGAGCTCTGGAGCTGAAGCAGGCCTGGGGTCTGGCCAGAGGGCTGAAGATGGAGAAGGAAGAAGAGAGATTCTTACTTTGCTTTTAAAGCCCCTTGTAGCCAAGCTAACATTCTGAAATGACCATAGGAAATGGCTGTGGAAGCCACCTGCTCTCTCTGTCACACACCCGTCATTCACGCTGCCTCTCCGGCGCTGGGGATGGGATGAGAGGCTATGTGCGCTTGGTCACAGCGAGGACCTTCACCCTCCTCAGTGAGAGGAGCCCTGAGACCTTGAGTGCGCCCCATGGGGAAAGCAGGCAGCCCAAGAGCCAGGCATTCAGGAATTGTGCCGTCCACGCGGCTCTCTTGAGTTTCCGTGTCTGAGTGCTTCCAAGGGTGAGTCCACCGCCCTGTGAACACTCCATGACCCCAGAAACCAACCACTGGGCTGTGCCTGTGTCTGCTCTCCCCAAAGCATTAACCATCGGGACAGCAGACACATTCAGAGGAGGTTTGATTGGCAAGATTAGCAGGTGTGGTGATGATTGGTATCTGTGTATTTTGTGTCTTTGGAAATAGTTCTACATAAAGCAAATTTGTTCTTTCTGCTGGTAAGGCCTCGTAACTGTGATTAATACCAATAAAGGGAATATTGTGGAAGGCCTGTGTCTCGTGCAGTCCTTCGCAAAGCTGCCTCTTTCCAGGGATGCAAACTCGAGAGAGAGAGAACTGTTATCTCCCCCACCCAACACCCACAGAAGCAAAACAGATGCTCTGAGAGAGACTGGTCAGATCGCTTGCGACCTCAGTATGTGGCAGCAGGAGAGGAAATCTAATGGAGCTCAGACTCCCATAGGATAACCAGGCATACACCCAGGTCACACCCGACAAAGCTACCCATCTGGAGATCTGGGACTATGACCAGGCACACCTGCAGACCACCCTGCTTCAGGTGCATGGCCCCCCGGTGCCAGTCCCTAGACAGTGGACATCACTCTATTGAAACCGTTGCCCCTCCAGTCCACCACCAGCACCATGAGTCACACTGACCCTGATCCTCTGTCCCAGGTCCACATAGAGGTGCCAGAGCTTCCATCCTGTGTCCAGGAGCTAACCAGTCCTCTCGCTTACCGTGACGCACATGGCTAACCATTTTCTAGACTTTGGAATGAGTTCAGATGGTGGAAAGCCAAAAGAACAACGTTAAGTGTGCATGCAGCCTCCTTCTTTGGCTGTGCATCAACACAGCCCCTTATTTCACTTAGAAGGAATGCTTTTGACTTAGGGAGTGTAGCTATTTCCCACACAGCCAATCTGCCTGCATCCCCCGTCCACATGGAGCCTTGTCCATGGCTTTGTCAGTACTGAGACTCAATGCCGCAGGAAAAATCCCATGTGATAGCCAGCCATGTATCCTGAGGCTTTTCATATAACACCACAATCCCAGAATCTGTGCCTAGATCAACTTAAAGTGATGTTCTAGCTGGGTGTGGTGTCTCACGCCTGTAATCCTAGCTGCCTGGGAGGTTGAGTATAAGAGAGCTGTGAATATTAATTTATTGATACATTTATTTGCTCACTTGCCAGTATTGGGGTTTTTGAACTCAGGTCTCAAGCTGTCATTTGGCTTGCTTGCTCATAGTGGGTGTTCTGCCACTTGAGCCACACCTCCAGCCTGGCTTTTTGCTGGTTAATTGGATGGAGATGGGGGTCACTCGGACTTTTTAGCATCAGCCAGCTTTGACCCTCACTTTCCCAGGTCTCAGCCTGTGAGTAGCCAGGATTAGAGTTGTGAGCCATCAGTGGCAGGCTCACAGATGTAAAAAATCTAACACGGTCATTAGGGTTTGTGCTAGGTTTCGTTTATCACAAGTCATACAAGCCTCCATTTTTCTTAATGAAGGACCATGACCCACTAGGTAACATTTATTGTGTGGCAAAACAAATATTACATAGAATCAAATTTTTTTTTAAAGAGTGAAACTTTAGTTCACATAAAGCTATTGAGTTACCAAAACAACAACAAACAAATATAAAATACTCCAGTGTATGTATATTTTAGTTTGATGTAAAGAACAGTCTGGAAGTATATTGATAAGGTAACACTGGAACCTGGTGAGAAAGAATGGATTCTATCCTTTACAAAGGCCGACTAAAACCTGCTGAACAACCAGACATGGCTGCTTTTCAAACCCTCCCCCATGCCTTCCTTCTGGTCCTCTAGGTCCTACTCTTTGATCAAAGTTCACACTTCCATTGGAAAGGCTGTAATCTTACCATTGTAGAAGTTCAGTTCAGCCACTGCTAGGGGCCTAGTTTTACCTTCTGTTTGCTCTGTTTGCAGTCTTACAGAGGTAAAAGGATGTGGAACAGCAGTAATAGGAAATGCAGGCTTTCAGTCTCCTTGGTCTTCCCTGTTTGAACTTGAGCTTGCCTGTGCCCTCTTTTAGGTTGCCTAGCCTTTCTGGCCAGACCTCATGTCCTTGACTGTTGGATGGGAGGATCAGCCTTCTCCCTCCATGTGCTGGCCTTAATGGGCCCTCCAGATGACTGGGGGGTAACAGGTAGGGATGTGGGGGAGAAGGGTTGACATCTTCTCTGGAACTCTTACACAAAACCTCTTCAACTGCTATGCAGAGGGAGGATGAAGGGACCACTGTATAGCTGTAGTCTCTGTGCTTCTGGCCCTAAATTCCTTACCGTCATTCCTACCTACCGAGAGTGAAGATGAGGTCCTGGTCCCTGCAGAGAGTGAAGAGGAGGACCCAAAGGCTCACTGGCCTAGCAGGTGCCGTGGACCCAAGCAGCAGCAGAATGCACCAGTGGACTTGCTAACCCTCCTCACCTGCTCCAGCTTTGGGTGCAACATCACCCTCACCTCCATCCTTGGGTGTAGGTGGGTTAACTTTGAAAGTTGGAGGCAGATGGGAGCTGGACGGGGGGCTCCGCTTTCTGCCCTTTACATTTGTTGGAGCTGTGACTTACAAATAGCACAGGCTCCATCACTGCACGGCTCTACCCTGCCTGAGGGTCTTCTTAAGCCCCAGGTCTCCTGTTCCCCAGGTCTCCTGTTCCCCAGGTCTGAGGCCCCACCCACCCACCCCAAATGCCCTGGGTCAGCCCAGCCCAGGTGTGATCTGACTCTGCCCCACTGCCCCTGACTAGTGTTGGGTATACCTGGGGAGATGCCCTGGGAGGGTTGATGACTTGAGCCAGGTTGGACAGGACACTCTGTGACCCAGCTTCGTGTGCAAAGGGCAGCACCTCAGGACAAGGCCTGGACACCCTCAGACCTGCCACTCAGGGCTGGCTGGTCTGTGGAGGTAAGCAGCGTGCATTGCAGCCACCTGGCTGCAGCTAGACCATCACAGGCACCCAACCATCTCCTGGCACCCCAGGTCCCTGGAGGAAGAGCCTAAGAGAGATTACACAGGCACAAAACAAAATTAGGCACAGGGCAAGAAATCCCACTTCGTGAATCTACTTTTCTGTCATCTTGCTTCACAGCCGAGGCCAGCTGTTATGGTGGGGGGGTGGAGGGGGAGGGAGGGAGGAATGGAGAGGAGTCGTTACCAGTAGAATACAATAGGAAACCCTTTCCCTTCTGGAAAGGTAGTGCCTGGTAGTGCCTGGCTCTCCACAGGCTTAAAGGTAAAAGGTCCCTGAATGGCCACCATTTGTCGCCAGGGGTTGCCATGTGGAATTCAGGGTCTCAGGATTCCCAAGCATCCTCAGGGTACCAGTCTACCATCCTTTGCCTCTGAAGGGACACTGATTTGTTAGTCCAGAGAAAGGCACATGGTTCTTTGCACAGAATGAGCCTCTGTGCCCTAGCCTCCCCACCCCTTATCAAATCAAAAGATCAAGTTGGAAGCCAAACAGCAGGTGGCTCATGACTGTAATCCCATCTATTCAGCAAGCTTAGATCCAGATCACAGTTTAGAGCCAACCAGGCAGAAAAGTCCCCAAGACTTTGCAAAAAGCAGAGCTGGAGGCATTGTTCAAGTAGTAGAGTGCTGGCTGAGCAAGGAACCTGAGCAAGTATGAAGCTCTCATTTCAAGCCCCAGTACTGGCACAAAGAACAATGAATACACAGATGGAAATCAAGTGGGATCTTCTCAGATGTAATGGCTGCTCTCCCACACACATGGAACCACAGTGTTAAATCTCACTGGGCTCCCTCTATCCAGTGGAGATGGTATGGCTCTGCCTGTTTGGGGTTGTGGAGATGGTATGGCTCTGCCTGTTTGGGGTTGTAGAGCCCAACCCTCTGGATACAGGTAATCTAGGATCTCCCTTCACTAATCCAACAAGATCCATGACTTTCAAGAAGTCCAGGAAGATGAGTGAAATGCAGAAACAATTTTAAGACTTGCATATTGAATGTCTACTAAAGGCCTGCTGTAGGAGTTTTGATTGCCAGTCTGTGGTGCTATTGGAGCCATGGAGCATTTAGGGGTGGGGCTTAATGGGAGGAACTTAGGTCATTGAGGGTATGGCCTAAAAGAGGATATTTGGGCTGCTGGCCTCTTCCTTTTTGGCTCTTCTGAGGTGAGCAGCTTTACTCCACCACATGCCTTCTGCCATGATATTCTGCCTCAGCACAGGCCAAAAGGAACAAGGCAGAGCAACAGGACCTCTGAAACTGTAAGTCGAACAAACCTTTCTTCCTTAGAGTTTATTAGAACAGGTCTTTTGTAGCAGTGACAGAAAGCTGACCCTCACAGTTGGACAAGACTGGAGGAGAAGAGCATGGGCATGAAAGAGAGGTCCTAAAGCTAAGTTTGGGTTCCACATTGGATGTGTGTGGAATAATTGTGCTTTCCCTGACCTGGGCCTTGTAGGGCAAGGGTCAAGTTATACTTGTGTTTGCAACTGTACTGATCATCAGCATACCTTGGAGATTTTACCAGTAAAAAGAACAATGAACTAATTGCTAGAACGTTCAGTAGAAACTTGTTTTTTGCTTGTGGGGCTTGACTTCTGAGCCTGGGCGCTGTCCCTCAGCTCTTCAGCTCAAAGCAAGTGCTCTACCACTTGAGCCACAGTGTCACTTCCAGTTTTATGGTGGTTTATTGGAGATAAGATTCTCATGGACTCGCTAGGCTGGCTTTGAACCATGATCCTCAGATCTGAGTCTCCTGAGTAGCTAGGATTATAGGTATGAGCCACTGGCACCGGGCTTGTTTGTTGGTTTGTTTCCCTGCCTTTCTATTGAAAATACTGAACATGTGAACTTATGAGAATTATCAGTTCTTTTTATTTTCTAATAGGCCTAGACAAAATTTTTTTAATTGACTGCTCTTAAATAATGCAAGAATTTATAGATGTTTTCCATGTGGACATCAGTCCTATTTGGTAAGTGCTAGAAGATGCCATCGCACATGTTTCTGTTGCTGTTACAAACCACCATAAACTTAGCAGATGACAGTGGCACATATCATTGTTTCCGCATCTCCGAGTCAGGGAGAAACTAGGGGCTGCTCCTGGGGTCTCGCAGACAGTGCTCCCCGTGGGAGCTTGCCAAGGAGGATTTGAGTCTGAGCCCCTTCCGCTTGTCAGAGGTCTTCCATTCCAGGCAGCTGTAGGACTAGGGCCCCACTTCTGATGCAAGGTTGGCCTGGGCTCCTAGGGACTGGTGCTCCTAGAGGCTCTGTGA